AGACATACTATAATTAGTCACTCATCTGTTGTTGGGTTTTACATTAAAAGTGTCATTAGAAATTATAGTTTTTACAAATTCTGAATCAAATAATCTCTGCTGTTGGGCAGGTTCTTTTGAGTGTGTGCTTCCTGAGATATTTGTGAACACACTCCTTTCTGCTGAAGACCCCTTTTCTTAGTGTTTCCCCAACACTATGCCTCCTACTGGGTAGTTGGCTTTAGTTGCCCCACAGAGGTTTGTCCGCTTAGCTTCTCTCTTGCACCGTGGTATGTCTGTTGCTCCACCTAGTATTAGGAACATAGTAGGCACCCAGTAAAATATTTGTTGAATGCTTTTGAAGTTTTTAGAACAGCGGTCCTCAACCCATGGGTGGCGACCCATTTGAGGGCCAAAGAGTCTTAGGGGTCACCTAAGGACATCAGAAAACACAGATATTTACATTATGATTCGTGAAAGTAGCAAAATTACAGTTATGAAGTAACAACAAAAATAATTTCATGGTGGGGGTCACCACAACATGAGGAACTGTATTAAAGGGTCATAGCATTAGGAACATTGAGAACCAATGCTTTAGAATGTTATGTGACTGATTTTCATGTGACAGTTTTGGATTTTTTGTTTGTTTTAGGATTTATTTACTTTTGTATATGATTGCTGTTTCTCTGTGCACCAGAGGAGGGCATTGGATCCCATTGTAGATAGTTGTGAGCCACTGTGTGGGTGCTGGGAATTGAACTCAGTGCTCCTAACCACCAAGACACTTCTCCAGCCCCAGTTTTGGATTTTTACAAACATCTTTTAAAGTTTACATCACACATATGACACACGTGGGCATAGAAGAGTGTAGAAATTGAAGTGATTTTCTTTCAGCTTACCTTCGTACCCAGCAGTGGAAAGAGAGGGCAGGTTTAAGGATGGGGACCCCTGCTTTCTAGTCTGGACTTCGTAGCCCTCTCTTCCTTTCTCTGCTCCCCTTTCCTGCTCCAGAATTTAGGGTCAGAACCGTGCTTTGACACAGAGCCTGCTTTCTGAAAATTCAAGTTGTTCATTTGTCATGGTCTCTGAGAGTAAGAGAGAAGGTGATAAATGTTTATTTTCTTGTTTTTATGTTTTGAGGCATGGTGTTAAAAACTCTGCAGCCCAGGCTGGCTTAGAACTTCTGGTCTAGTCTATTCTAGCCTCAAAAGCTGATTTGCTCCAATGAGAACATCAAAAGGCTTTGATTTCCAGGGAAACCCTTCAGATAGAAGTACAACTACATACACTTATGTGTGTATCTCTAGGTCTGTATTTAAATGCCTTTAAGGTCTCTCTCTTCTTCCTCCGTGTCTTAGAAGGCAGACTACCCTGTTGCTACTGAACTAAACATGATCATTGGATACTCTCTGGAACCTGAGCTCTATCAGGTTTTCTTGGCTTTTTTTTTGATAGAAGGTTTTATAAATACAGGCTCTCCGATAGCTGGAGAAAGCTCTAACGATGTCCCTTTTCTCTTGGAAGTTCATTAGTAAATATTTAATGGTTCTTTTTGAGCATAGTATGAATACTAAAATATTAATTGCAGCCAGCCATTTGTTGTTGGTACACTTCTATTGAGAATGGCTTACTTTTGAACATTCTGCTTGGTAATATAAAACTAGATTCTATTTAGATGTGTTTTCCCTGTGTGTATGTCACATGGTGCTAGGGTCTTGCACTGCTAGGTAAGCACTCTGCCGCTGACTTACACCCACGTCCCTTAGTGAAGACATTTACAGTGTTGCTAGGATTGGAATCCGAAACGCTTAGCTGTCTCTGTGGGTGTTTTTATATGTGACTTATGTGAGCAGAGGACTGCCCCTCCTGCTTTCCTGTGTTAAAAAGCTTCACTTTCCTGAAGCATTAAAGTGGATTGAGAGTGGGAGGGTTCTCAGGGTCCAGTTAGGAGAAAGTGGGGTTCAAACAGCAGTGCAGGACACGTGGAGGAGAGACCTCTTGTCGTCACGATCACTAATGCTGTAAGCCATGAAGCGTGGGGTTGTTTAGCCATGTTCATGTTAGCCAGCGGATCACTGCCGTCACTGCACTGTTGGAATCACCTGTGGGATTGTTAAAATTCTACACACTAGCCCCATTAAAATGGATTCTCCAAGGCGGGGATATAAGCATTGGTATTTTAAAAAAGTTTCCCAGGAGGTTTTAATATGTAGCCAAGATAAACATTCTTGAGAAGTTCCTATCTGCTGCAGAGAAAGTGCTTTATACTGCTACTGGCTTTCGTTAGATCTCTTCAATTATAATTAATCAATTGGATATTCTTGGATGCAACTTAGGTTCATTCTTTTCAGTAATGGACATTCATTGGGCCTTGTAACCTTGTACTAGATTTTTATTAGTTGCTAGTAATGCAGAGATAAAGTTCAGTTAGTGTGGTCTAGCAGGGGAGATAGATGTAATTATACTATGTTACATAAAAAGTATGTAAATAGAGACATGGCTTGGGTATTTATTGAGAACTTAGTAGGGGCTTTAACTCTGCCTGAGCTTTGGGGTGTGTGTGTGTGTGTGTGTGTGTGTGTGTGTGTGTGTGTGTGTGTGTTGACATTGTGTGTGTGAAAAAGATGAAATAAAAAATAGTCAAAATTTCACAAAGGAGGCTAAAAGATAAGAGTTTATCAGGTAGGAAAGGGGGAGGTAGAGGCAGGGCTCCCCTGTAACACCTGAAGATGTTCAGAACTAAGGAATGTGCATTCAGGGCCTGGTTGGAGAGAAGCTGTTCATGAGGTACTAAGACTTAGTTACACCAGAAGGTAAGTCAGTTTGATGGCAGGCTGCTCTTTCACCCATATTGGAGACTGTTGCCTTGCCTGACTAGAGGCCACACGGTCAGATAGATGTATGGAGGGTCTCACTAGGTCATCAAGACTGCAGCTGCTAGAGGGGTGCTGGGGAGAGAGGGGATGGAGAGAGGACAGAGGAGAGTTTGGGTTTTGTTTTTAAGTTGAGGTTATTGTTCTCGGTTGGCACAGGGCCTCAGATGAAGGCTGTTTTATAGAAATTGTCATCCCTATCACCTGGTCACTGCTCCCAACATCTCACTCGGGAAGACTCACCGCAATTGAATTACATCATTTTGCTTATTATTGCCACCAGAAACATTGTATATTTGTTTGGATAAGTCCTTATTCAAACAGTTTTCATTATTGGCACTTTCAAGTTTTTTTTGTTTTGTTTTGTTTTTTTGGTGTGTGTATTATGTTCAGGTTCTGCCCCATAGAAAGAACACCCATTAGCATTTACTTTATTTCTTTTGCTTCTATACATCTCCTTTACACTGTGAATGCTTCATCTTTGTATGTGTGTAATCATTTTTATTACACGTATGTATGTATGGTGTATTGTGTATGTGTGCACTTGTATCATATGTGGAAGTCAGGATAATTTGTGGGAGTCAGTTCTCTGCTTCTACCGTGTGGATTTGGGATAGTGAACTCAGGTGGTCAGGCCTGGCAGCAGTTGCCCTTTCCTGCTGTGCCATCTTGCTGGTCCTAAATGGTGCTTGAGTGATGGTGTAGCTGGATGTAAACTCGAGGGTAGCAGCTGTTCCCCTCTTGCACTTGAAGAGTTGACTTCACTGTCTCTGGGACTGTTGTTACTGATGAGAAATTGAATTATTTATTACTCATTTGTCTGTGACTTCCTTGTTTCCTCTCTTTATCTTTATGGTTTTTCTGGGTTCCTGCCTCTTTGCAGGGTAGTTGTAATGTATGTAGACTTATCCTGTGTATTATTGATGCATACAGTATATAACTTTCCTTTTCTGTACTGAGGATTAAACCCAGTCTTAACACATGCTAGGCAGATGCTCTGGGCTCTTTTCACTGTTTCTTTGGAGCTGGAGCGTCTCTGGTCAGGGCTGGGCTTCAGCTTCCAATCCTCCTGTCGCAGTCTCCGGGGAGCACCTGGGATTGTGGGCTTGTCACCAAGTCTGGTGTGGGAAACGTTTTAATTAAGTCTTTTTGAAAATAAAAATGTAAGTAAACTAAGGGATAATAATAGTCTTACTATTTTCCAGAAGCATGAAGGAGAGCTTAGTTGTGTTAGCTAAAGACGCATTTCCATTGGCAGAAGATAAAGAAGAGAGGCCTGTGAGCTTGGGAGGTCTCAGTCACAGTCTGGGCTCTGTCAGTTTGTAAGGTTGCTTACAACCTGTACAGGTTATAGTTGGTGCTGTGTGTATCTTTCAGCACAGCATTGTTTTTGTGAGGGTAATTTGAGGATAGTAAAAATGTCTGAAAGTTGTTAAGCATTGTGTGTAAGATACAGGGTAGTGTAGCCCACAGACAAATTATGGAAGTGCCCTTTTAATGCTTGTTTTCTCTAAATTAAAAGGGTTAATGTGGGAAAAGTACAGCATTTTTGGAGGAGATAGATGTATGCTTTTCTTTTTAAAGTTATAGTCAATTCTGACTTTTGTATTCTCCTTGGTTTGTTGCAGTGAATTAACTTGGTATACTTTTTAAGAAAAGTCTATAGGAAATATTAGTTATTTCAACTAGCTGATATCTGAATTTAGCATCTACTGTGTTTGGATATAGACCTCTGTTTGAAGCATGACTACTTTGTGTAATCTAAGTAGAAGACACTTTTGTCCTTTTGCGTGTATGTGTGTTGGGTGTGTGCATCTTTGTGTACATGCACTCACTCACCTGTGTGTTCGTGTGTAGAAGCCAGAGGTCAGTTTCTGATATCTTTATCACTCCTCATCTTAGTTTCTTAGACAGGGTTCTCACTGAAGCTGCAGCCATCGTTTTGACCTGGCTGACAGGCTGACGGGCTCCTGGGATCCTTCTGTCCCTGTGCCCTGAGCACTGGGTTACAGGACACAGTACCACATCCAGCTTTTATCTGGATGCTAGGGCTCGTAGAAAGCATGTCACCTGTGGAGCCACCCCTGCCCACTTTTGTCCCTTTGAAGGTACTAAAACTAAACTTTAACTTTTTTTAAAATTTAACAGGCAACCAGATAAACTGGTGGTAGTCTGGACAAGAAGAAGCCGAAGGAAATCTTCCAAGGTGAGTCCACGCTGAACAGTTACCACTTACAGACTTGTGCCGAGGGTTAGTTTGTTCAGATGCCGAGGAGGGACGCAGCAGTAAGAAGTGGAGAGTTGCCAGAGTCCATTGCTGGGTCCATTGCAGGAGAGGAGGAGTGGACTTTTTCTCTTTGTACTGATAGTCTTGTGTGTAGAGACTAGAACAGAATTTTAAAATGTCCAGCAGCAGTTCTATAACTGTTTTAAACTTTCTGTTCTGTAGATAAATACATTTTTATGAGCATACAACTGTAAGCATATTTATTGGATGTTAGTTTTTCCATATAGATAGACCTCTATTAAGAAACATTTGTTAGATGGTAATTGAAATTTTAAAAATTATTAAAGGCGCTTTCCAAGGTGATTTTGTTTTTGATACAGTGTCTCACTTTGTGTCTTAGGCTGGCTTAGATTCTGTGATCTTCCCTTTTGTGCCTCCTTAATGCTGGGATTATAAGGGTGTGCCACCACATCTGGCCTGCGGTTTTAATTTTATTAAGCTAAAACTTACACATCCATAATTAACCAAACCTTAGTTATTCAATTCAGTAAGTGTATTAGTCACTGTTCTATTGCTTGAAGAGACACCACGACCATGGCAACTCTTATAAAAGAAAGCATTTAATTGGAGCTTGCTTACAGTTTCAGAGGTTTAGTCCATTATCATCACGGTGGGGAGCAGGGTGCCATATTGGCAGACATAATACTGGAGAAGTAGCTAAGAGTTCTACAAATGATCCACAGGCAGCAGGAAGAGAAACACTGGGCCAGACTTTGGGATTTTGAAACCTCAAAGCCCACCCCCAGTGACACACTTCTTCCACACCTCCTAATCCTTTTCAAGTTTTGCTGTTCTCTGATGATTAAGCATCAAATATATGAGCCATTCTTATTCAAACCACTACAGTGATATATATATATATAATAATTTATAAACATGTTTATAATTTATAATATGCATGTATTATAAATATGATTTATATATACATACGGTATAAATAATACTCCTATCAAAATGTAGATTTCTATCAGCATGAATTTTTTTGTTTCTTTTCCAGGCAGTTCTCAACCCTCAGAGACTAGTGTTTTTTCATTTTCTGTCAGAAAAGACTAAGTTGACCTATTTTTGAATTTCATATAAAATGCTATAATAGTATTTTTATGTAGCACTGTATAGCTTTAGTAGTACTATATATAGTTTTTACATAATATGATACTGTTTTATGTGTGGTTTCCTTTGCTCAGCATCATGTTTTTGAGATGTGTTCATGTTCTTGTTTTCTTTTCTTTTTTTTTTTTTAATATTTATTTATTTATTATGTATACAGTATTCTGCCTGCATGTGTCCTTGCAGGCCAGAAGAGGGCACCAGGTCTCATTACAGGAAGCTGTGAGCCACCATGTGGTTGCTGGGAATTGAACTCAGGACCTCTGGAAGAGCAGTCAGTGCTCTTAACCATTGAGCCATCTCCCCAGCCCCGTTCTTGTTTTCTTATGTAGTTTATAGTTTCATTGCCGCATAGTATTATTCCATTCTGTGAATATACTACAAGTTATTAATTATTCAGCGCCTGATTATGCACTTTTTCACCCTTGTTGGTGTTAACTGCTAGAATCATTATTGTTCAAGTATTTTCTATTTCTCTCAGCCACGGGAATGCAGCTCTGGGTGCTAGGATGGGTACCTTTTAACTTAAGAACTTGCCAAAAGGTAGAGTGATAGATGAAGACAGCTGACCTCAGGCTCTGGTCTCCATGCACACGTGTGCACACGTCTGTGCACAGTGCTTCACAACACATACACACTAGAACATGTGCATGCACAACACATCCATACACATGCATACACATGTGCACAGAAATTACCAAACACTCCTATCAGCAACATAGAAATTTAAGCTGATTCACACCATGAACAGCATTTTCTTCAGGGCATATTATCTATTTATACATGAGAAGGAGTTCTAAAAATGGACACAGTACTTCTCATTGTGTCTTCAACTTTTGTGGAGTTGACCACAATAAAGTTGTCCCCTAAGTGTAGTAGAGGTTTGTGACTATACCTGTAGTCTTTAGAGTGGACACTGAAAGCAATGTATTTCTTTTTGACAATTAGCTAGCAATTATATTCTAAAAGAATTATGAAATATAATAAATTAGGTTGTAGGTCAGTCAGAAAATACTCATTTTTGATATTGAATATACTTTGTTATCTAATGGCTTATTTGAAATGAAGTAGTTTTTATGAAGGGGAGATTCTTTCTCATATGATAACATATTGTTTGAACCTAGGTAATGAAATACAACGAGGCTACAGATTAAATCCAGTATATTCGAGAAGAAATTACTTTTTCTTCTATTTATTTCTTAAGTTTAATGTTCTTCAAGACCCTCCTTTATACAGTCAGCTCTTTGTATTTAGGAGTTTCATATATGTGGATTCAACCAACTATGGGTTGAAAATATTTTGGGAAAATTGTGAGTGAGCCAGGTGTGGTGGACTATCCATAATCTCAGTACTTGGGAGGTGGAGACTGGAGGGTCAGCTGTTCAAGGCCAATCTGGTCTTTGTGAAACCTGTCTCAAAGAAAAAAAAAGTTCCCCTCATTATTTCCTAAACAATATGGGACGACAAGTAGTTAGTTACACTGCCCCCACATTGTAGTGGGTATCTGTAAATGTCTACATGGGGGAGAATGCACGGGTCACGGACAAACAGTGCACCATTTATGTAAAGACTTGAGCAGCTGTGGACAAGGGCAGTCCTGGGATCCTGTCCCTCAGATGTCACTGTCCTTTAGAATTCCTGTCTTTTTCTTGGAGTATTGGAGGTGTATAACAGTTTATGAGAACTGACAGTGCTAAGCTTGTAACATATATATTTACATATGTCATGTACATTTATGGAAATGTTTTACAAATTACACATAATAGCTAAATAAGGAAATTTAAAACTGACACTCAGATATTATACTGACAGTTAAATTAGGCAGTAAATAATTAGCCACATTTGCCTTTTTAATTTAAAGTTTAACTCCTAGTTAATTGCTCATTTTCTGTTGGTCCATGTATATTTTATAGCTAACTATTTAAAGAGCTCATTGCAGAATCATTCTGATTAAAATAATTGATTATGGGCAATTAACACAATAGGAAGCTTAATACTTACTCAAGTCGTGGCATTTATAACAGACTTTGTCAAGCTGTAATTGATTTGTAAAGGTACACATAAATAATTTTCAGTACATGTGACAGTAGCAGCCAGGCAGTTGTGATAAACAGGATGAATATGGCATATTATTGTTTGTTGTCGAAGCTCCGTTTTCTGGCTGGAATTGGAAGTCAGCAGAGAGGTGTAAGAATACCAAAGGGAAGCCAGAGCTTTAAAACCCTCATCAGATTTTTGCTGTCACTGACACCTTCCAAAGTCTTGCTTGTGATTGAGCCTTTCCGTGTATCAAGAGGAAGGCTACCTGTGGAGCTTTACCTAATGAGGTCATGTTAGCAACAGTAAAACTCTTACTAGATGACATATGCAGCATGGGTATATGTATGCACTTTTAAAATTTGTAAAATATGAGTTTAATGAAGTGGAAAATTGGAAATTTTAGTGAAACTTATTGCTGTGTATGTGTGTGCATGTTTGTATGTGTGTGGTTGGATGTGTGTACACATGCATGTGGGAGCCAGAGTTCACACAGGGTGTGTTCCTAGAGTGTACTTTGCCTTATATATTGAGGCAAGGTCTCTCACTCGAATCCAGAGCTTGGGGATTGGGCTAGTCTAGCTAGCTGGCTTGCTTTAGGGATCTCCTCTCAAGTTCTAGGATTCCAGGCAGGGGATACATCCATTGGGCATTTACTTAGGTCCTGGTTTGCTGAACTCTCAGGTCCACACCGTTGTATGATATGCACTTTACCTCTGACCTCTTCATGTACACACACACACACATACACACACACACACACACACACACACACACACACACACACGCACGCACGCACGCACATACAAAACAAAACAAAACAAAACAAACAAGAACCCCCCCAAAAAAACAACATAAAAAGAAACTTTGGGTATAGTGACATGTGTCTATACCCTAGCACACATAGGGTATTTATGTTTTCTAGGAATTTATTAACTCGCAAAGTAGTAATTCAAGAGTCTAAAGCTAGGGAAAGAATGAAAAGCCTAATACAAGTAGCTAATAACTTTGGTGATTTTAATCCCTGCGCTTGGGAGGCAGAGGCAGGCAGAGGAGGTCGGAGGACGTCTTTGTGCATCATTGTTAGGAATATATTGGAAGCAGGGCGTGGAGGTCACTAGTTAGATTAGACTGGCTGCCCAGTGAGTCCCAGGGACCTACCCGTCTGCCTCCCCAGCCCTGGGGTTACAGCTGTGCACAAGCACCCTGCCACTTTTAAAGGGGTTCTGGAGTGCAAGTGCAGGTCCTGTGCTGTGAGGTGAGACTTGCACCCCTCTTCCTCGTCTGTCCAGTGTGTTCCCTGACGTGCATCTGTACTCGTGCCCTGTTGCAGGAAAGTAGCCGTTGCCTCTGGAGAACAGACAGCACCCAAAGCCCAGCTGTCCCCTTGCTGTGGGCCAGTCCACTTGCTGTTGTCATCATCACATTCCCCTCTTAACTTTTCCCATTGGCACAAGTGTGTTTTTGTCTTGACAGCTTCTCTTCAGATGTTATTTCCTCAACTGTGGCTGACTCGTTTCTTTCCCTCCAAGTAGTTGAGTGTGTTCTCATATGAAGTATCCTCAGTTTCTTCTCTTTCTTTCTGAGCTCATTCCAGTCTGGCTCTCCCTCTGAACTGCTGTGTTGAAACTGCTTGTTATGACGTAGCGGCTGTCCTTTGTTGAATCCGGTGGTCATTTCCAGGCCTTACACTGTTTCCACCTATCACAACATTGGGTCCTTTTCTCTACTACATGGCTAGGGTACTCATGCTCCTGGGTTTTCTTTACTCTGCTGACACACCTTTGCTGATTTTGTTTCATTTCCACCCCAGGTCTCAGTGCAGACTACCCTCTCCCAACCCCTAGGGCCTGGTGCATGTCAGGAAAGTTATCTGTCACTGAACTATACATCCCAACCCTATTTTTTTATTCTTTATCTGTTTTGACTCTCCTAGGATCATATCCATTCTTAAGATTTAAGTATCATCTGTATGCTAATAATTCCCAAATTATAACAGATACTTGATTGTGCTTCTTATTTGAAGACCTGTACTTGTGTATCTAATAGACAACTGAGATTTGGTGTGTATAAAACTGAGCTCCTGAACTTGGCCTTGCCTCATATACATTAACAGCAGTTTTTTCCTTCTAGTTCCTCAAGGGCAAAACAGCTTTATGTCAGCTCTAGCTGCTTTCATTCTCTCATACACAAAACATCAGATTTCGTTGACTATCTGTGAAAGAAAACAGTGTACCAGAATGTGGCTGCTCTGCGCCACGTTCCTACCGTGGCTGGTCAAGTGGCCCTCAGCTTTCCTTGTTATTGCAGTGGCCTGTAATTGTTCTCAGTTGCTTCCTCTGCTATGAAGCCTGTTGTGGACACATTGGCTAAAAGGGTTGACTTAAATGCAGCTTAGATCATCCTTTGTTTTAAACCTTCCAGTGGCTTCATGTCTCATGCAGAATGACAATGAGTATCTTTTCTTTTTTCTTTTTTTAAAGATTTATTTATTTATTATGTATACAGAAGAGGGCGCCAAATCTCATTACAGATGGTTGTGAGCCATCATGTGGTTGCTGGAAATTGAACTCAGGACCTCTGGAAGAGCTGTCGGTGCTGTTAACCTCTGAGCCATCTCTCCAGCCCAAGTATCTTTTCAGAGGCCTGCTAGGACCTTACCTGGCTGGGCCATCACTTTCTGTGGTATCATCTCCTCCTCCTTGGCCCCTCTGCTCCAGTCATGTCCCTTGTTATAAACCTGGATGTGCCTCAGTGCCAGCTGTTGTCCCCGCCCTCAGAAAGCTTCCTTCGTGTATTGGTGTGTTGATTTCTTCATCCTTCCCTCCAGTGTCACTGTTTCCACGAAGCCACCTCTGACTGCTCTGAAAAGTAACCATGTTCTTCTGACCCCCAATCCTTATTCTCTGCTTTGTTTCTTCCCATGACATTCATGCTCCACGTAACATACTACTTAGGTAATCAGAATAATTGGTGCATCTCTTACTACGTATACCATAAACTCCACTAAGGCAGGTAATTTTTCACAACTCTGTAGCCCAGAGCAGTGCATGGCAAATGATATCAGCTCAGTGACCTGGAGAGTGTGTGGGATGAACAGTTTCTACCCTATAGGAAGGTTTCTTATTCATGTGTAATGAGTTTAACATAACCAGATCTTCTTTTATTATCTTCTTCAAACACATCCACAGTTTGCAACATGTAAAGATGAAAACTTACTAGCCCTGTCCTGCCATGACATCTCCCTTTAGCTAGACTTTGGTTAATGCACAAGGGAAAACTGGTGATGAACTTTAAAATTTGGGGGATGAAGTTTCCAAGGGAATTTTGGTAATCAAGGTTTATACATAACACACCTCCCAAATCAGAAAAATCAGAAATACAGTCTGGGAAAGCTACTGTTCTCTTTCACTTGCCTTAAATAAGAAACATCGCAATTTAGGGGAAATGAACTTAAATACAAAGTATATGGTTAGTCCTTCCTTCCCTCCTTCCTTCCCTCCCTCCCTCTCTCCCTCCCTCCCTCTCTTCTCCCTCCTCCCTCCCTTCCTCCTTTCCTCCTCTTGGTCCACTTCCATCTTTCTCCTTTTTCTGGAGCCCCTGGCCTCCTGAGTGTCTGAGACCACTGATGCTTGGCTGTACCCTGCTAGATTTTCTTTAAATTTCCCTTTTTTCAAATTTTATGCATATGGGTGTTCTGTCTGCATGTATGTCATGTACCACTTGAGTCCTGATGCCCATGAAGGTCAGAAGCGGGTGTTGAAGAGGATGCTGGGTCCCCTGGAGCTCGAGTTACAAATGGTTGTGAGCCACCATGTGGGTTTTGGGAGTTGAACCTCAGTCCTCTGGAAAAACAGCCTGTGCTCTTAACCACTGAGCCATTTCTCGAGACTCAAGATTTTCCTTTTAAGGAATAAATTTTCCTTAAACTTCTCAGTCACAAAAATAATCTTAAATATTGCTCCTTGTTCAAGTTTTCCATAATCAGAAATAGCAGCCGTAAGAATATGAGATACTTTATTTTTCTGTCATGCTTGTGGCACATCTGCTTGTGTGTATGTGGGGTATATCAGAGTTTATAGATTACAGCTTTCATTTGTTTGAGCTGTTCTGGCCCAAGCTTAATGCCTGAAAAGTTTTGTTTTGTTTTCATATTTGCTTTTATTTTGACTAGTGATTTTTGTCTCAGGGAGACTATAGATCTTAATGGATAACTAAATACAGTTAGTATACTTCTGTAGGTTGTTAGCAATGCATTTCCACACTTCATAATTGAAGCTTTAATTTTTATTCTGGTAGGCTCACAGCTGGCAACCTGGAATAAAAAATCCATACCGTGGTGTTGTTGTTTGGCCTGTTCCTGAGAACATTGAAATCACTGTGACACTTTTTAAGGTAAGTTCTTGTATAATCTAAGTTTATAAGTTGCATCTGTATGTGCTTCTGTATACAGATTACAACACTATTCTTGTATGCATTTGTGTTTCATCTGCTTACCCAATTGCATCATTTCCAAGGAAGAAATTTGTACATGGTAAATGCATCCCAGAATTTCAAGATCTATAGAGGCCCATGGGCCCACTTTTTCCTGTATCCTACTCATAGGAATCTTTAAAATGCCTTTCCTGTGCAAAGCTGAGGTTTGTGAAAGCTTTATTCTGCTCCTCATTTTGTTGGCTTTCTTTGGTAACAATTTGCTTTAAAATCAGTACTCATATTGCTGTTAATATAACATGATATTGTAGTTTTTTTTTTTTTACTCTTTGGGGGCCTGCTACCCAGTTCCCAGACAAATACACAGAGACATATTCTTATTTATGAATGCTAAACCTTAGCTTGGCTTGTTTCTAGACAGCTTTTCTTAACGTAAATTATCCCATCTAACTTTAGCCTCTGGACTTTTTAGCCTTTCTATATTCTTTATGCCTTTTTTCCCTTCATACTCCATGGCTGACTGGGTGGCTGGGTGGCAGGCCCCTGGCATCCTCCTCTCCTTCTCCTTTTCTCACCCTTCCCTCTTCTCTCTTTTTCTCCTGTTTATTCTTTCTGCCTGGTCTATCCCTCTCCTGTCTTGCTATTTGTCATTCAGCTCTTTATTAGACCAATCAGGTGTTTTAGACAGGCACAGTAACACAGCTTCACAGAGTTAAACAAATGCAACATAAAAAGAATGTAAGACATCTTTGCATCATTAAACAAATGTTCCACGGCATAAACAAATGTAACACATCTTAAAATAATATTCCACAACATGATATATTTAAAATTAATAGCTGGTCAATTGCTTCTTGGCCTTTTGGTCAAGATCATGTGTAATAGTTAGTAAATCTACATATACACACACATATTTTGCAAATATATATGTATGTATACATGGATTTATATACTGTGACAGGGTCTCACTAGGTAGCCCTGGTTGAACTGGAACTTATTTTTGCTGGCCTCAAATCCTCAAAAATCTGCTGAACTCTGCCGCTGCTGAGCTTAAAGTCATGTGCCACCAAGCCCACTAGTTAATGTATTTTATTAACATTGAGTTTTCTTAAAATTTGTCTTATTTCTTTAAATGTCATAAAATATTCAATACATGCGATAATTAAGCATCAATTTACTAACCGATTTTCCTGCTCTCAAGAAACAATGGGGACAAATTATGGCCTATTATGAGTCTTTTGGAAAGTGGTGGAATCAGAAAACAAATGCTTGCCAAACCTGATAGTACAGGCCTAAGTTCTAGGTACCCAAGGGACTTGACAGAGAAGGATCACAATTTCAAGGCCTGCCCAAGCCACAGAGTGAGTTCAAGGCCAGCCTGGGTAAATTAAGACCCTGTCTCAAAATAGAATAAAGAGGCTTGGCATGGTGTAGCATGCCTATAATTCCAGTGCTTCCAGGAGTTCAAAGACATTTTCTACTATGTGTTGAGGCCAGCCTTGAGCTAAGTGGGACCCATCTCAAAAATGGCTGGGGGCATGGGGAAGGTGGGATAGTAAAAGAGGGGTGTGTGAGGATGGAATGGCTGGCTAAGGAAAAGGATGTGGGGACTCGGCTCAGGGACAGAGTACTTATGTAGGATGCTTGACTCCCTAGGTTCGATATTTAGGAATACACATACACACACACACCATTACTTCTCTGAATGATTCATGTTGAAGTTGTTTTTACAGAGTGTTGGAAGGAGGAGGTATCCACTAAATGCCTTAGGACAAGTAAGTAAGAGAAGTGAAATTAAAGTAGAGCTCAGAATGTGAAGCCCGTGTAAAACTGCTTCTGATTTTGTGACCAAGCATATGGATTCTTCTCTTGTTAGTCAGACTGCTCTTGTAGCTGTGACAGATATCTGAGAGAAACAACTTGAAGGAGGAAAGACTGTGTGTGTGTGTGTGTGTGTGTGTGTGTGTGTGGTGCTTGTCATATATGTCCCACACACATACATTGTTGGTGGTGACACCATCATCTCTTTAATTTGCTTAGGGAAAAATAAGAGACGAAGCAGTAGCAGCTTTTCTGTTTATCTTTTCTCCCAGAAGAGTCAGAATTGCCCTATTGCCCTTCTGCTGGCTGTCCTCAGAGGCTGCTAAGAAGCCCTTCTTTCCCATAATTCTCCTGCTGGAATGATAACCTAAATAAACATGGTAGTTAAGAGTGATACTTCTGGAGTCTCTGCCTACATCAGTTCATTTAATTCTCAACATAGCTCCAAGGTTCTATCAACATTTCCATTTTACTGATAAGGGAGCTAAGACCAGTGGGGAGCATAATTGTGGGGGACCAGCCCCCACACTTATTTACCCCAGATACTCATGAGGAGTGAGGGATAAGAGACTTAAGTTAGAAACAGAGAAAACACAGGATAGACTCGGGTGGGCCTGGATCCTTATGCACCGCCCCAGAACTTTATTCCAAAGGTCTGTTTATAACAATGCCAAGGGGCGGAGCAAAAGATCTCTCCCTTGGTAGTTGCAGTCACCTGGTACCCAGGCTCATGGCCCAATCAACCTCTTATGCAGTTCTGTTGGGTACAGCCACTAGGAAACCTAATGTCTCCAAATACCTTGAGTTGACCCTATTCTTTCCTCTAGACCAGAGTGGTTCTCAACTGTGGGTTGTGACCCCCTTTGGAGTCGCATATCAGATATCCTGCACATCAGTAATGTTATGATTCATAATAGTAGCAAAATTACAGTTATGAAGTAGCAACGAAATAATTTTATGGTTGGGGTTCCCACAACATGAAGAACTGTATTAAAGGGTCTCAGCATTAGGAAGGTTGAGGACCACAGGTCTATACTGTACTACCTCTGCAATAATGGGTTATAAATATTTACTATAACAGCAAGATCTCTGATATGCTTGAGGAAGACTTTTAAGTAATCTCATCAAATAAATTTCTTGGTTTAGTCTGCTCATATTGGTAAAAAAATGAGTAGACAAAGTCATACAGTGTTTTGTATTTATTTTTAATGGCAGAGAACAGGGAATGGAGTTGGAACAGTTCATAGCCATCTGTTTGGGGAACTGACAGTATGAGTCTGAGTTGAAAGTAGCTGTTAAAATTTGTTGCTTGCAAGATTAGGAGTTAAGTGTGGCTTGTCGTTCCAATGTGGGATGTGCTCCTCACTCAGCTTTCATGCCTTTCAGCGTTAAGATGTAGGGAAGATGCCCCTAACCTCCTCCTTCCTAGTCTGCAGTATCAAACATGTCTACTCAATTATATTATTGGGGCAACCTTGTAACCTTTTCCAATATTTAGATGAGTATTTTCAGTGGATCCTTTATCTTCCACATCACCCAGAATTCAGATAGAAAAACAAACAAAATGAAGCAACTTGATTCTTTCATGGTAAATTTTGGATCTTGTTTTTGAACAGCACTTAAATATTCAAGCAAAAAATTTTTTCACTGTTAATTTAATTTTGAAATTGTAAATAGGAAAGGACTTCTCTGGCTCCATGACATTCACACAAGCAAACACACAGAGAAGTGCCTTTTGAGTTATTTATTTTGTAAAGATTTATTTATTTTTGTGTGTATGAGTATTTTGTCTACATCTCTTGTGTACCATGTGTATGCTGCCTGTGGATGGCATGAATCTCCTGGCACTGGCATTCCAGATAGTCTGAGGTACCATGTGGGTGCTGAGGTCCTCTGGAAGAGCAGCAACCAGTTCTCTTAACTGTTGGGAAATCACTCCAGAACCCCTAATTAAAAAAAAAAATCTATCTAATCTATCTATCTATCTATCTATCTATCTATCTATCTATCTATCTATCTATCTATCTATCTATCTATCTATCTATGGTGTTTGCCTGAATGTATGATGTATGTCTGCACTGTGTGCATGGCTGGTGCTAAGAAGGACAGAGGAGGGTGCTGGGTCCTCTGGACAGTAAGTTACAGATGGTTCTGAGCTACCTTATTGGCAGCTGGGATTTGAACCTGGGTCCCTTGGAAGAGCAACCAGTACTCTTAGCTGCTGAGCCATCTCCCTAGGAAATACTTTTTAAGAAAGTTATCAGTGTGTTTCACCTCTGTGTTTAACCAAAAGTTGATTTCTTTAGATTACATGCCTGTTTTTGAAAATGTAACTAAATTGAAAATAAATATGGCTAGTAAAAAATTTAAAAGCATTTCAGATTTTCAGAAGGGAAATGGCTCTTTATATTATTAGTGCAGAAGTAAGAAAGTTGACAACAGTTAGAGGTAACTAAAGAAGGCTTAATTAATTACAAATGTTTTGTCTGGGCCATAATAAAATAATTCTGTAGATATCCATTTTAAAGTGCCTGAGAAATGAATGTTGTTGTTGCTGCTTTCACATCATATGCTGAAATTTCCTATCAGGTTATTTCTTTGCCCCAATGAAATTACTCCTCAAAAACTGTTTTAGATCTACTACGTCATCTGCGTCTTACAGATGTCTTATTTGCTTTAAATAGTGAAGTATATCAGTGTGTGAAGGCACTGTTAAATATTTGTCAATTTATGTGGCATTTATTCCTGAATTCCTTTGTCCCGTGTTCTTGAGGCTGCAGCTCAGTGATGAAACTGAATCTGCAGTGGATAAAAGTCGTGGATCTGGAGCTCTAATATAGCTTTAACATCTGGACTGCTTCAGTCCTCTGCACAGTTAATGGTGGTAAAAACAGGACCTGTCTCAGAAGTTGCACATTAACTGGGACACAGTGAGTGCTCAATAACTATTTCTGTGTTGCTGGGACTAACTGTGCTGCATTTCTGAAAACAAAAACAGCAAAGATGAAAACTAACAGGCTGGAGGCTGGAAGGATGGCTGTCCTCAGTGTTGTGTCGTGCTATTGCTTAGCCTCTGAGTAGTACTGTTTGTGTCCTAAATCAATTATAAAAAGCTCTTCCAGTCTTTACAGTCATTTCTT